AAATGAGAATAAGAAAGAAAAGTATTTCTTTGTGCCCCCCTCTCCCTGTTAATGCCCTACCTGGCCCCCTGGCAACACTTTGCTAGATCCACCCCTGCACAGTTACCAGCTGTCAGCTACAAAGGATCCTGGTCTTATTTATCTCAGTTCATAACTTCCCTTCAACTCATTCATGTCACCTAAAAGGTAAACCTGTTTCTCCATCACCGGTTCAGCTCTGATGATTCAGTAAGGACATCACCTGGTTTCATCTTCATGTTTCCCTCTCACCAGATATACAAACCGACATCATGACCAGCAGCTTTTACAGCTGTGGCTCCAGCAAACATCAGCTGATACTAGAAATTAATATTAAATACATTCTAACAACAGCTGATCAAGCTTAAACACGCTGCTGTTGTTTAGCACGAAATCCACCGGTTTCCTCTATCTGGCGCAAAGTGGGTGAACAACAGAGATGGGACTTGTGACAGAAAAGCTGATCATTGATCAGTTTCATGATTGAAGTAGCAACAGGAGAGGGAGGGGGAGAGAATGAGAGAAGAAGAGGCAGTTGACAGCATAAAGACGCAGAATTACTCCAACTTTGTCTTTTTTCATTCTAGCTGAAGTGCGGGACAAACTGTGTTCCTTGTCAGCTCAATACGGAACTTAAAGTTCGACCTCGTCGGCTGTAATCTATCCAGCCCAGAGTCGATCATAACCAATTAGCCAATCCAACACCTTTCATTGTTTATAGCGTTACAAAAAAAACCCCAAACAAAACAAACAACAAAACATCGGCCCATACAAACGGAAAATCACCATCGGCCCAGTATGTCCGATGGCCAGTCCAGCTATGCCTCTAAGAAATAGAGCGATGAATCTAATTTTGAAATTTTTGCTGGAATGATCATAAATGGGTATATAGAGGAGGTTGGGTTGTAGAGAGGTACAACAGTGAATGTCTACAGCCATTGGTAAAAGACAGAGGAGGATCTGTCATGTGCTGTTGAGCATCATAAACACAAGATATTAATGGAATCTGGAAAATGTCTAATTAGCAGCAACTTAATTTTTCAGCATCACAATGATCCCAAACACACTGCTGATGCAGTAAAAGCACACATGCACAAGAAAAAACACACAGTGGAACACTATCAGTCACGGATTGGTCTCCTCAGAGCCTGGCCCTGAACATTATTGAAGCACTGTCATCTTGACAGAGAATGGAACAAAAGGCAGCCAACAAAGAAGAAGAGCTTTCAATGTCTTTCAACAAGCCTAAAGAACTATTCCTGAAGACTACTTAAAGAAATGACAAGAAATTTCACCCAAGAGAGTTCAGGCTGTGCTGAAGAATAAAGGTGATCATACCAAACACTGACTTTCAAGCTAGTTAGAACTCTATAAACTCTGTTTTGGCTTATTTTCAAGGTATGTTGGCACACTTTTTATTAAATCACTGCACCTATTTCCCATTTTTCTGAAAAAAAATCTAAGGAAGTGAGGACGATGCAAGACTAGAGACAGTACTGTAGGTTCTGTATTTTTAAATCTACCACAGCGATTGTTGTAATTAAGGGATGAAACACACAAAAAAATAAAATAAAAAATGGAACATAAGCTGATTATATTACTTACTATACTCGCTGGGAGGTTGGGGAATTCTCCTAGCAGGCAGAGCTGGCTGTATATCAAGTTGAGTCAACTGTTGTGGGCTTTCTTGAGTTTTAGGTGGCCTGATGCGAGGTGGTATCTCTGGAGTTTGTTCTCTGAGCGTGTCATCCGTGCCTGTCTTGGTGGGAGATGGGCTGGAGGACAGAGAAAAATAGGGCAGGTCAAAAGAGGTTTGGAGGGGTGGGGATGAGTCCTTGGAAGCCATGGTGTTCTCAGATCGGGTAAAAATTCCAAGTAGGCGGCTGATTTTATTCATCTTCTTTCTTTCTTTCTTTCTTTCTATATAAACTATATATATAGTTTATAGAAACGTATATAAAAACTATTATAGTTTATATAGTTAGACACCCCTTCCTCTCTAACTCTTTTCTCACTCAATAGTAAAAACTGAAGTGTCCTTGTGAGATCTGACTCCAGGCACAAAAATTTGCTGGTGACAAAGCTGTGCAGAGCTTTTTTCCCTAAAGTTATAATTCTCGAAGAACTCCATAAAGTAACTTTTAAAAAAGAAAAAATGAAAAATAAGGATCCATCTGGTAACCTCATTTAGTACAAATTAGGGACTGCTGCTCTGAAACCCAAGTATTCCACAGTTGTAGTAAAACTAATCCCAGACACTGAAACATGTGTTCCTTTGCTCTCCTCTTGACAAGTCTAGTTTTTTACTCGCACTTCTGGTTTAAAGAGCAAGCCTAAGCCTGCCTCACATAAGTGATGCCACCTTATTGTAAACCCACGCTGCCTGTGTATACTCAAGAAACTCAAACACACGGAAATATATCTTACGTGTGCCACACATATGCTGAGGTCATACATTCTGGTGTTTAACACTGCTCATCATATCAGTTTTTGTCATTTTCAGAATGCACTGTGCACCTGGCACAGCACATCTGCCCTTATTAACAGTTTTGTTTTGATAAAACACAAGGTAGGGCCTTTTTGCCAGTAAGTGGCACACCAGGAAGAGAAAAAACAGGCTCATCTTCTTTCCCTCCCCATCAACTTTAGCCATCAATTGTTTGGTAATCCCATTGAAGTGTGGTTAAATTATGTGAGCTGAGTCAAAACATTCAATGGGGGCAAGCATGATTTTTTAAGCGAATGACAAAAAGGAAATTCCCTATGTCAAGACCACAGATGTCTTCTTAATGGGTGGGCTGTTTCACCCACAAATATGGAATTTGTTAGTGAAAACGCAGGTACACGTGCATGTTCTGAATGTTCAAATGCAAAGTCAACATTTTCCTAAGGACTGCAACCCACTGCTTGTTATAGATATTATAATTTGGTCAACTAATAGAATTAATAGAATTGATAAATAGAAACTAAACTAGATATTTTCAAATACAAAACTATAATAACTCTGATGATCACATACACACGTAGAATGCATTGCCATATGCGCATATAGTGATGCTCATAATACAGTTATGGGGTGGGGTGTATCAAAGTTATGAGGTCAGGCTGAGTGTCCGACATACATTTTGGATTTCTCACGCTTAATCCCAACAGGATGTATAATCCATCTATAAAAGAGGTCAACCTCCAGAGCTGACAAATGAAGCCGACATGGAAGTGCTAAATCTCCCTCTAGGTGCTACTTGACGCTGGCTCCAAACCATATAAAACTTGGAAATACGTTTCAGGTTGGAAGAATGAAGCCAATGCATAAGTGCCTAAAAACCTGGAGTCTATCTAAAGGACACGTTTGCTTTTCCCCTGACAGACAGTGATAGAAGTCTATGGGAAAACAGCTTTCTGGCTTTATCTCTTTCAACACTGTCCTACTGCGTTTATCTGCTCAGGCCGTCATTTTGGGTCATACTGACTAAAATATCAAGTCAGTGTTAAAACACTTGGTGGCACCGTGCTTCAATATGGGGGAATATCAGTAGCACGAAAATGCATGCTGACACCAAACTGTCACTGTCAGAGCCGCCCTTCCTCTCTCTCATCAACTTAAACCAGGGGTGGATGGAACTTGACTGCATGCTGAGGTGGCAAACCCCAACCCTACTCAAGTAAATTTACAGTGTAAGTGTTTGGGGAAAATGTACTTCTAAAAGTACTTTTATTGCACCATGGTCATTCTCTCTGCTGTAACATGAATCAAAGGGTTGAACTGCCACCACAGCATGCAGTCAACTGTTGCTAATGACCTACTAATTTTATTTAGGTGTGTTACAACAGGGACACATGTAAAGGTTTCAAGACACTGCCCCTCGAGGACTGGAGTTTGACACCCACGACTTAGGCCAGAGTCTGATTTGAAAAAGCTTCAAAATGTAGAGTCCAAAACCAGTGGCTAATGTCATGGTGGCTAGGTCCATCTTTTACACCATATATGGTTCTACCACAGACTCACTAATTGCACAAAGGCAAAATATTTCCACAAAGAAACCTGAGAAGTATCTCTCAAAGACAGCGAAAGATTGCAAACGCCATCGATAAGCGTGAACACCGACACCATTATAGTTTTGCCCTATTGTATAGACAACCTCACTTGAACGACAGCCCTATTACCACTGTCACGTATGATATCTAGATCTAACACAAACTCACCCTCATTGTGAACACTACCAAACAGTACTTTACTTCCCTCACTGAGCCCTTTCAACTGCATGATAACTGATATTAGCTGAAATATCATCTTGTTCTGCACCAAAGATGCACAAGATACACGCATGCTCAGACCTGATATTACGGGAAATTACACACACTGATTCATCAAACGCTGTCGCAGATCATGTTCGATTTACTCATGCAATTGTTTTTTTTAAATGCCAAACATACACATTCCTAAATAGTATGTCAGTTATGCGGCCTTAAGAGTTAGTCATGAATGCACACCAAGCCAAAGATTGCAAAATGAACGCATTAACCGAACAGCGCATGTACGTCACTTTGTGCTGATGGTAAGTCAGGAGTGAACATGCACATCTGGTTTCTGTCTATCCAGTATTGTGAAAGTTCCTCTTTATTCCTCATATTTTTTTTATGTGTTTGGATTTCGTTCTCATAAAAACGATCAGTGAGATGAAACATGAAGACCGCAAAACAAATCTTCAGATTATTAGCTCACAAATATTAGCTCTGTATGAGAGGGAAATCACCTTTACTTCATAAAAAATAAATAAATACACTCTGAAAGTGTCACAAACACCCCCTAATATTACTGTTTACTGGCTCCCATTAAAAGTCAGACAGTTGAGCATTCAACACTGACATGTTGTGAAAAACCACCAAGTCAAATTGCCCTTGGGCTGAATGAACACAGGAATTGAGTGCTTATTAGGTATGATCACTCTTCTAACATCTGCATTAGCTGAGCTGTTGACTTAAAAAAAATACCATTCATGTATCATTTATGTAGGAAGCAGTGCCTGTGGACAAATTAGTACACACTTCATGCACTTGGCAGCAGGTTCAAAGTAGAATTTTATCAAGTAACTAGACTCATACTAAACATTCAACTTTAAAGACTGTATACAAGAACTATCTTTGAAATTATTAAAATACCTCAGTTCAAAAAAAACCCAGAAAAAAACATGCAAAAGCCTCACAATGACGGGAAACTGCCTTATTGACACAGTTCCTCCTTTTTCTCAGAGGAAGAGTGCTGAGAGGGGTTTTGCTAGCTTGGATTCTATATTTAACGACTCGGCTAGCTCACATATGACAGTCGGCTGAAGAAACAACGACTGCTCCTTTGTCCTCCCACACTGCATAGCTCTTAACTTATTTAGGCATTGCAGAATTATTCTTGTGACAAAAATGACTACAGTGCAGTTTAAGTCGTGGTGCTGACACTAAGCTAACATATGTGTCAACAGCACAGTTACTGTGGTCTTTAATGCAAGCTAGACTTAGCATTTCAGATACTTCATAGCTTATGTCTGAAGAAAACAGTTACTATGTCACTTTTGAAAGTGAAAAACAGCAAAGCTAAGAACATAGTTTTTGTCTTAGAAATACACCTGACCTGCGTGTCAGCTAAACATGCCATGAATGCCTCTCCAGAATACCATCTTAAACTTGCCTTACTTGATTTCTTGAAAGACATACAGATAACATAACAGTAGTTTGAGTTTCCAAAGCACATCTATCGCCCCAGGACAAGAGAAGGGTCTCATCCAGTATCACTGCAATTGTAACCAGCCTTATTCTTGTGAAGGTAAAACAAATTCATGGAGTAGGTGCAACAGAAGTGTCACTAACATCACCAACACAGCAGAAAAGATGAAGCAAACTATAGAAAAGAAAAAGGAAGGCTTGCTTGTTTTGAAACCCACAGCAAGAAGACTGTCGACGGGGGAAAGAGAGAGTGAATGCTAAAAATAAGCATAGACAGGATACAGATATGATTTATATAAATGTTACCTGTCCTGACATGCTCAAAAGGATTCCTCTTCCATGATGATACAAACACAAACTCTTCACAAACTCTTCACAAAGCAGGAGGAAACTAGTTAACCAAAAGGGGGAGGAGGCAATGCAGCAACAACAGTGTGTGAATATTCAAGGCTACAAAAACTCAGACAGTAGTTCCTGGTAATGCATCACAGTGTAGCTGTGCTCTCTGCCTTTAATCCTCACCGTCTTTCCCCTCCATGTCTGTCACAGTTTTTTTTACTGCTTATGTGCCCTCAACCGTGGCTTCCTCCCTGTAAAAGCCAGTTTCCTTTTTAAACATACTTGTATTGCTCATAATAAATGTGCTATTAAATGTACTGGAGTCAAAGCTTTGGTTTCCTTTCATTAAAGCAATACAGCAAAAAGGGAGAAAAAAAAGCTGTTCAGCCGGTGTGATTTCAGAAGGATTTACACAAACTGAGATATAACATATTACTGCCAAAGTATCATCAGTGAAAGCAGATGAAAATTCTGCTGCTTAAGGGGAAATGTGTGGCCTTCAGTGTGCTAATTGGAAATTCACACTTTTGCAAACACATCAATGTAAAAATGACTATGAAGAAACTGCCAAACAACACTCCCTGCGCAAAACTTTAACTCATAAGGGCAGAAACGCTTACCACAGAACCTTTGAAAAAAACAAACACTAACCAGAAAGGGCTCAGTAGTAAGTTAAGAGCAACTTTAAAATAGACTACAGTTTCACACAGGGGTTGCAGTTTGTTCAGATGAAGCCTTGTCGACGTATTTCCGTATTCAGAAGGCCACAGAACTTTGTCCAGTCAAGTGTGCTGCGACCCTTCAGTTTCAGGAAGTGTCTAATTTTACTTTCAGGAAGTGTTCAAAAGTCCCCAGTAACATTTTGTGTGTCATCATGGTAAAGTACACAAGAGATGCACTTTTCAAGCTTGGCCTGTAGATGGCGCCACAATCCACTGGTAACATTTGAGAGGGTTTTTGATCACTTATCAAAACACATAGTTAACAGTGGTAATACAGATAATGGTGGTGAGAGCATGTGTGTTTATGTTTGTGAGGGAGACAGCTAGCAAGCGCTAGCCTGTGGGATTTATCATATTTTTAGGCTCATCTTTTTTTACCTGTAATAAACTCAGTGGTTACTGTGCATCTTTTTGCAAAATGAGGCATCTGCATTCAAATGGAGCCTTACCTGTGAGTTCTGGGAGACTGAACAGGAAACCGTTGAGGGATTGGTGGAGGGCCTTTAGATGCTATTCCTGCCTTTGGAGGAAGAGGTGGAATATTTCTACTGCAAGGGGAGTGGATGGGAGAAACAGGTGAAGATTTTCTTCCTCCATCGACAGTTAGGTATTGGGCATTCGGCTGAATGGCTAATGTCTGAGGCCTATTTGCAGTAGAAGGGAGGTCTGGAGGGTGGGATGGTGGTTGGGGGGGTTTAAATGTGGAACTGGGGGACACAGATCGGCATTGTAAAGCTGGAGCCCTGACCTCTCGTCTTTCCAGTTTAGGGGAGCCAGAGGTTTGAACAGAGGGTAAGGTGAAGGGCTGTGGAGGGCAGTTTGGTGTGCTTCGGGGGGGAACAGGGGGCAAAGAAGTGTCCAAAGCTGGAGGGGGGCTAGGGTCCAAGTTGTCTGGAGTAGTAGAGCGAAACTTAGTCCTTTCTTTTGGCACAGGTTTCTTCCTCTCTCTATCTATCCCTCCATCCCTCTCTTTCTCCCCGTCATTTCTAGGTACCATCTGTCTTTTCCCAGGAACTGGCTTCTCTCCTTCACCGCTGCTCTCCTGCATTCTGGATACTTGTCTTTCTCTGGGGACTGGCGTTTCTCGTTTCCTAGGTGTAGGTCTCAAAGTCTCTCCATCTTGCTTCACATTGTCCTGAAGGAGAGATTTTTCACATGGTGGGACTGGCAATGGTCTATCTCCCCCCAGAAATTCAGCTTGTCCCATTTCCTCTGATCTCTCAAACGATCCGATGGTGTGAGCGTCATGATTCCCATGTGTTTTGTTCAGACTTGCCAAGATGCGCCTCTGGTGACCTGGCAGGGTGATACCAATGCATTCCAGTTGCTCTGGTGTGAGGCTGCGACATTGTTGTAATGTTGCATATCCAGCACTCTGAAATGCATCGGAATACTGCTCCAGGCGAAGTACGCCCAGCCACTCCCCCACATTGGCACAGGATTCAGACTGAGACATTGCTGATGTGTTTGTATGTGCTGCTCGTGAGAGTCCACGGAGAAAATGCAGACCTTAATGCATCAGATCATGGTTACACAACCTGCAGAAGAGACAGAACAAGGAGACGTGTCAATGCATCCCATCAAGGAACAAGCAAAAATGAAAACAAAAACTCTCCAAAGCAATGACATTTTTTTAAATGATTTCCTGAAAACCTTGTTTTAGTTTGTGGTTTGTGTTATTTTAGTTTGTCTGTGTGTGTCATGCAAGTATGAATGCGGCAAATCCTGTCTCGGGAAATATGTCAGCCTGAATTAATATGTGTGGTTCTAAAGATAAATCGTGATCAGTAATGAATAGTGCAATCATAGCCATAATTCAAGAAGTTGCTATTTTTATTAAGTGTCTAAACAACTGCAGAAAAGTTATATGCAACATGTGGTGGATGTTTCTTTCCCAGGTAGAAGAGGAAGTTGAGTCGCCACAACAGTAAAATTCAACAGTAGTTCAGTCATTCTTATAAGTGGTGTCACATTAGTCCAATGACATGTGTGTGTATAAAAAGGTTGAACACAAAGTAGAAGAAACTGCCCCTTAAGTCTGCATTTCTCTGCCTAAACATGTTTTCTTTAAGTTTCTAAACTAGTCAGTTTTGTTGCACTATCGCAACAGACTACTAAGGGAGGAAGTGTAAGTGGCACAATGAGTATTAGCACAGAAAGCATGTCTCTAAATTCTCCGTAAGCCTTTCAGTCATGTTCAGCTTCCTGCAAACCACTAAAATTCCTCATAGCACTGTCATCAAGGTATTACCGTAAGTTTTATTTTTTCATCACCGGTGATGACCCAAGGCCTAAACACTAACCCTAATGTTTTGGAGTAAAGTAAAACTGACTTATTTGGAATAAATTAACTAGTTTTGAGGATGATTTTTATGATAATATAGATATGGCACTTTGTGTCTGTATTCAAAATGTTCAAGAACAGCTTCTACGCAAATCTGTGAAAATGTTAGGCTTTGATTAACAGTAGATGTCATCTACCAGCACTCACACGGCACAAAAACGTAACAACCACAATCAATAGCTCAATAAAGACTATACCGATGCACAACTTCAGTGAGCGTAAAAATATTTCCAATAGTTCTTCTTGACTGTTCTATAACGTGGGAAGGTACAAGCTTTTCTAAATCGATAGTCAAAAACCTTCTGCAGTCACTCTGCCTTTTATCTTCCTGCCTCTTACTTGTGACCACAGGGGAAGCTGTCGGTTTCCCATTAAGAGCCGCAAACACAGTCTTTCCTCCGCACACCCTCGCACACAAAACTATATTTCACTTGATACAATCACAAGAAAAAATAAAATATGCGTGGATGAGTTTAACCTCTTTTCTGTTCAGCTCACTAAAAACAAAAACATGCCTGACTGAAAATATACTATTCAAAAAGAAAAAAGTTTATACTTTATTCTCCAAATCTCACATAACAAGAAAATATGTTTAATAAGACTAAAAACATTTGACTTGCACAAATTATATGATATTTACGGTAAGAACTTTTCCTCGTCACAAGTTTGCATGCAAGTCACACGGCGGATATCAGAAAATAAATAGAGTAGGACTACACCAAACTAGAATTTCTATTACTTCCATGACCACAAGGGCTGTTGTGGGTATATTGGTGGGCAGTAAAACTATGGACATGTTGTGAAACGTCCGGTCGCAAAACTTAACAGGTGTGTCTTTGAGTTTAAACTAAAGGGAGGGTTCGCTCATTAACTTGGTCTGATCCATCAATAATTAGTGAAGGCCATCAGAAGATGTAACATCATGTCAAGATGGTTATGAGTTTTCCTTTGATAGAAACTGTTTAGTTTTTTGTTTTTTTACTGACAAGTTTAAAATTTAAAGATACACACCTAAGCATGATTAACAAACACTTCAGCTCACTGACTAGCAACAGAACATGCAAAAGAGAAAATATTTAAAGCATTATATAAACCTGATTCGGTTTGGTGATTAGACATGAGAGTTGTTAAGGTTGAGTGAAGTCATAGTCACCAGCCCAGTATGATAAAAGACAGTGTACCGGCTGCCAATGTGATGCATTTCATTTCCTGTCCAAAGTTTCCTCTAACAACTCAGAGCACAGCGTACAGACGGTGTGAATCTTGCTCTCTTCTCTCCAATCAAAATGCTTCCCATTTTTGAATTGAGGAACTCAAAAAACAGCCCAATGAAAAACAGTCTGATTGGTCTTCAGCCCCTTCACAGAGGCGTTACTCACCAAACTGAGCGAAAAGTGTCTAACAAGTGAGCAGCAAGTGTTAGCATCTTTCACCATCTTAAATCAGCACTTTGTTGCAGAGAAGCCCATGATTGGCTGCATCTGGGCATCTGTGCGAGTGTCTGCAGGGAAAACCACAATAAGTGGTAAACATGAACACTGCAGTTAAGCTTAACGCTATCATTCACAGTTGTGCCTGTTTAACTCAAACATCTGTAGCCCCTCGATAGTGGCTCCGTTGCACTAATCAAGACATGAAAAAGGTAAAAGCAGATGTAAAGTAGAGAAGTGAAACAATGCTGCTGAAATATGTAATCTTGACTATTGTGCCCATGCATCACATCATGAAACGCTTAGCTTCTGTCAGCTGATATCAGTTTGTGCATCTCAACCTAAAAAGCATTACTTTGTCAGCTGTTCTAAGTCTGTCTGCATCTTGAAGGCAATTTTAATTAGGTTGCTATTCAACCGACACTCACCTGCCACTTTATTGGGTACAACTGTTCAAACGCTCATTAATGCAAATAAGCCAATCACATGGCAGCAACTCAGTGCATTTAGGCACGGAGGTAGCTTGCTCCTTAGTACTGACTGAGCATTATTTTAACACCACAGCCTATCTGAGTATTGTTGCTGGCCATGTCCATCCTTTTATGACCGCAGTGTACCCATCTTCCGGTGGCTGCTTACAGCAAGATAACACAACATTTGCATCATCTCAAACTGGTTTCTTAAACATGACGATGAGCTCACTGTACTCAAAAATGGCACAATAGAGCATGTTTGGGATGTGGTGGAACAGAAGAATCTCAAAATGAATTTGCAGCCAGCAAATCAGCAACAACTGTTTGATCCTATCATGTAAATATGGACCAAAACCTCAAAATTTAGGCCATTAAGACTTAAAGCTGTTCTAAGCAAAATACTTATGAACTTTGATAAATGCTTCCTGTGTTTGCAGTTCACTAGTCTAAACATACCTGAACCTATTGCTGTACTATAATCAGAAAGATGAACCCAACTGTGATCTTTAATTTGACACCAAAACAGAATATTCACAAAACTGCTAATGTGTTATTTTAACTGCTGAAAAGACTGACAAAGAGTGTGCGTGAACACAGAAAATATCAGGTTCCTCCTTAATTCTGCAAATTCAGGTTGATTATCACCCCCGACTTCCTTTTTCCTATTCTCTATGCCTCTCCTTTTTATTTATCTCTTTTTTTTTTTCCTTCAGTTTCCAGTCAGCAATTTGAATTCAATTCATCTGCCTCTCCGTTCATCTCCCCCTCCCTCCCACTCAGAGAGCTGCCAATAACAGGGTCTCTGTGCTCTCCACAATGGGGCATTTTGTTGCCTAGGCGAGTACACGCACATACTGACAAGCAGGAAGGAAAAACATGGTCAAGGCCCACTGTTGGAGCCTGTTCACACACTCTAAAACAAGTGCTCACCTAATGATATTGTGCGTAGGTGCGTCTCTGTGTGAGGGGCGCCTCAATTTCACCATTAATCCAACACACAGAGACACCCAGGGTGCTCCACTGTCCGCACTCATCACAGTGCTGGTTGGCATCAAATTTAACCTCATCTACTGTCTGAATCTGCAGTTTTTAAGTATATAATACTGATTTATGAGACAAAGCGATGTCTACTGAACTTTATCGCTTATTAAAAGACTTTAAAGGCCTCTTAGCAACAATGTTGGTGACACATAAAACACATTACCACCCCTCTGTTGTACTTGTAAACACACCACATAAATAGTGTGGCAGGGCTGCGTACAGTATGCCACACAGTTTAAAAAGAAAATGCAAAGACTACCATTGTATGGCCAGTTGTCACACTATGAGTCATGTGGTTTTTAAAAAGCCACAACAACTGCTGTGTTGTTTTTTTACTCTTAACACTTCACTGGTCCTAAACTAAGAAACAAGCTTTTTATATTGCACGTCTTGTGCTAGTTTTTAAAAAGCGAGGAGAGTCTTTGTTCTAATTCGAAGACTAAATATTTCACTTACATGCTCATACTGCTAAATGTGTAACAACACAGTCTAGAAAAGCATAAACCTTGCTGTATCCACCACTACATTCCCCAGCATGGACTAGAATCACATTCACTGAGCCCAGCATATAATCTGCAAGTCATTTAAATAAGAGAAAATAAAGTTAGACTAGACTCCTAGTCTAAAAGACAGAAATCCCCAAAATACTACACGTGATCCTAGGAGCTTAATTAATCCTCATTCCTCAGATCGTGTTTTAAATGTTGCTGACGTCTGTTGGACTGCAGCCGCAGACAGTATGTCAGAGGTGTCGTAATATCTCTGAACCATTAACCGTTTAGTGCATTACTAAAATAAGAATAAGATGTTTAACCCACCAGTATTTTGTGAGCTGACTAGCATGGGGAAGCAACTGTTTGACGTTTAGTTGACTAGTCGTCCACATTTCTAGCCTCGGCCGTTCCGGTTTTATGTGAGCGTTTTTGAAGGTGCATACTAAAACACCCGAAGCACATTCATGTATCCCTCTGTATTTTTCATTTCATTGCAAATGTATTCAAAATAAATATAGTGTAAACTTGTCTTCTCAATGCTTGCTTCATCACAGCTCAGCTTTTGGAACAATGACTTTACAGATTGCTTCAACATTTTACATGCGTGATCTTTGCTGGCGTGATCATGAAACCAAGAGCAACTAATAAATCACAAAGCAAGCTAATCAAGCTTCGATTAGCCATTAGTACCGGCCAGGCTTGCTGAATGTATTTAACTTTTTCATAAACAATAGGGCAGATTACTTACAATCGTCT